AGGGGTTAAGAAAGCTCCTGAGGAGGTAGCACCTGAAAGGGGAGGAAGGCATCAGTCAAGAGGGAGAAGGCTGCAGGAAACAGACCTGCATCTGGACGGCGGCTGGGGTAGCTGGCCACCAGAGCCCCCAGCCCAAGCTCCACCCCCAGCCCAGGGCTGAAGCCCTGGAGGACCTGGCTCTCCTCCCCTGGGCCCACCCCATCTTCACGCCCTGCTGCCTGGAATCTGAGGCAGCCCTTGTTCTCTGGCAGGAGGGGAATTTAATGCCGCTGAGGGATGGCAGGTCGACAGGCGAAGAGAGATGAAAGTGTCCACTCTGGCAGCCGGGTCGGTGGCCTCGGGGGACCCTCCCATACCCCCTCTATCTTCCCCAGCCATTCTCCAATCAGTGTGGCAGGAACAGCCCTCAAGGGGCCCTCAGGAGAGATGTGGACCTCTCGGGACAGGACTCCCTGCGGGGCTGTGTGAGCTTGGGGGGCAGCTGGGCCTCTCTGTGCTAATTACCTGCCTGCAGGGCGCCTAGGCCAAGGTCTGTATTGTTAACATGCTGGTGGCTGCCTGTCCTTCCCCCACCTTGGCTGTCGTCAGCAGTGCCTGTCAGCACAGGGTCGCGGGTGGGCAGTGGGGAGCCAGGGCTGGGTGCACAGTGACCTCCATCCATCCATCTCCAGTACCTGGGAGGGAGTGGGAGCTGGCGCTGCAATTAGGTCAGGCCTAAGCGGCCTTGGATGCAGCAGAGCCATGTGGCCATCACCACCTCCTTCTTTGTGACAGCACAGAGCTGGGCTGAGTCTGGGAATAGAGGCTGGGGCCCCAAGCCAGAATCTGCCCCCTGGGCCAGCAGCCCCATGTCCTTATTGGAGGTGCCGTGGGTTTTGGCACTGTGAGGTGACTTTGTTGCTCTGCAAAGCACCATGCCAAGTGCCCCACCCTACGGTCCCTGGTTATGTTGCCCTTTTTTCCTGGGAACAGAGGCAAGGGCATTTGGCCAAGGTCATCCACAAGGGCACACACACACACACACACACACACACACACACAAACACACATGCAGAACGTGGCTTTGACACATGGTGACCAAGAAGAGGGGAGGACTAATGTGTCTAGACTCAGACTCCCAGGCTCTGCCCTCTTTCCTGTCCATGGAGGCAACTGGTCCTCCCAAAGCAGCCTGGTGCAGGGGTCTGACAGCCAGGAGCCCAAGTTCTAATCAGTTCCCCTTACCATCTTGCTCTGTGACTTGGGCATGTCCCCTACTCTCTCTGGGCTTCAGTTTCTCATCTGTAAAATAGATAATAATCCCTAAACTGATGACTTCCTGGAATCAAAGAAGCAAATTTATTTAACAAATTGAAACCATGCCAGACTGAAGACAGCCTCCAACTAGCCTTGGGCCAAGGAGAAGTACCCAAACAGAGAGCCTAGTTCCTGGCCCACAATCACCCAGTACACTACAGGAGCTGTCCTTCTTCCTTCTTCCTGCACAACACGATGACAGTAATCTCATAGCATAGGGCCAGAGGCTCAGTCTGGTGTGCTGAGTCAGGTTCAGGGCATGAAACAGGGGCCCCAGTTCGAGTGGGGGATAAGGGCAGCAAGGGACTAGGTCAGGCCAAACCCTGCTGCTTTCGGGGGGAGGGGGCGCCTGGCAGGCGCTGGGCAGGCCGGGGTGGGGAGAGGCCTTTGGCGGCCACAGAGAACAAAGAAGCTGGGGTTGCCAGGATATTCTGCGGAGCTGAAGCCGGCGGTGGTGGGGCTGAGAGAGGGGCCGTGGTGGCCGTGGGAACCGTGCCTGCTGCCCCCATGCCAGCTCCCCCACCCAGACTGGGCCTCAGGGCCAGGCTGGGGGTAAGAGGGGCTGCCAGGGCCCTCATTCTGTCCCCAGAGTTGCATGGCTGTCAGGGCAGAGACCCAGGAAATGCTGTAGACAAAGACCACGGTGCATAATGTCAGCATCACTGAGGGGATCACAGGTGCACATTGACACACAATGTCATAAGCACACACCCAGGCAGTGTCACAAGGTCACAGCATGATCACAAGCCGGCATCACACACTCACATAGAACCCCTGATATCAGTCCCAGGGCCACACCCACGATGGTCACACAGACACAACATCATAAACCACAGAGGACCACCAGTGTCTTGTCACGGGGTCATGCATGCCATACAGCATCAGTGTTACACATCCAGTGTCACACATTCAGCTGTACAACCTGGTATCATACTGGGTCTGTTACAGGATTGAACAATGTCACAGGATTATACATGCAATGTCACAGAACACCCCAAAGTGTGGGGCTGCTGACATCACATACTAACCCATGGCCGCACGAGGTCTCACGTCAGTCTACCACACACTGTCACCGACCCATTTTCAAAATGTCCGTCAGCGTCACGCATAGACACGCTGCCGCACAAGGCCTCACGTGGCTGTCAGGGCCTTGAAGCATCGCCCCCCGCCCCCTACACAGAGGCACACGAAGCTACATGGAGGCCGGGCTTGTCTCCAGCTCCACAGCCCAGGTGCATTCACTCCCAGCCTCTCCAGCCGCCCGCTGCCGCCCAAGCCGGGTGACGGGGTGCTTGAGGCGAAGACGCCCAGGCCACCAACTGTAGCGTAGGGGCTGTGCTACAGCTTCCCGGGGAGGGGAATCGGACATTCAGCTCCACAGGGGAGCCCGCCTCCAAGTACTCCTCTGTCAGACGGGAGAGCAGCAGGGGTGAGCCCGACACAGAAAGACACAGAGGTGAGAGATACAGGGAGATAGTGAGGTACACAGAGACTGAGATACATGGAAAGGTGACGAAACACAGAAGAGAGAGTCGTCGAGGACCAGCAGCGACGGTCAAGACAGAGCGCCAGATAGAAACAGGCAGAGGCAGGGAATTCCCTGGCGCTCCAGTGGTTAGGACTCAGCGCTTTCACTGCTGAGGCCTGGGATTGATCCCTGGTCGGGGAACTAAGATCCCCACAAGCTGCGCAGTGCAGCCAAAAATAAATTAGTTAATTAAAAAGAAGAAGAAAGAAACAGTAAGAGACAGACATGCCAGAGCAGGGCCCGGCCCAGGGCTAGGGCAGCAGCTAGGCCACTCTGTGGAGAGATGGGGTGGCTGGGGCTTCAGGGAGGATGCACACCCTGGGCGGAAGGTGGGAGACATCTTGGTGAGACTTTGGTGAATAATAGTTTTAAAATAGCAGCGCCAGCTGCCATTGACCGAGTGCTTCCAGTGAACCAGGCCCTTCCGTAGAGTGATCTCATTTCATCATCAGGCAACTTTATAGGGGAGAGAATATCACTGTCCCCATTTCCCAGATGAGGTAACTGAGGTCTCATCATGTGTTCAACCTCAGTTATCACCACCCCTACCTGGGCCTCCTGCAGACAGAGGGGCTGGCCTACCCTTTCCACAAAGCACAGCACAAGAGGCCAAAGCTGGAAGAGGTGAGGGGCCTCAAGCTCAGGGCTTCTCTGTGTTGGGGGGGTGAGCCCAGGAGCCATGGCCGGGCTGTGGGTTGGCACACCAAAGGGTACAGGCTGACTTGAGTCACAGCATCCCCCCCTCGGGGCTGGCACCGGAGCCGTCCACCCCACACCTGTAGGCATGCCAATGAGGGCTGGCCCAGGCCATCTGCGGCCTGTGTGCTGCCAGCAGCCAGGTGGGGGCAGGCAGGGGCCTCCTGCCCAGGTGCCCCCTGCTGGCCAGGCTTCCCACCCCAACTCCTCCAAGGAGGACCCTCCCTGCCCCTAAGAGGTTCTGGAGTTTGCCTTGTGCTGGCGGGGGTGAGGGTGCCCCAGGCTGCAACACCTCCCCCTACTCCCCGCTGGACACCCCCCCCGCCCCCCGCTTTGGCAGAGCTGCCCAGAGAGATCACAGGCAGCCACATGAAAGGGAATTTTTCCCAGGCAGAGATGAAGTTGAAAGCTGCCTCCCACCACCCCCGCCTGCCCCTGCTGTGCCAGGCCGGGCTGCTGAGCTCCTGGTGCTCAAAGGGAGCTTGTGACACCTGGGAAGGGGTTGCGGGTCAGAACCCTCACCCAACATGGCTGCTTTCTTTCCTCCCAGGAACAATGGCAGAGACATTTCCCCCACCTGACCGCCCACTCAGCTTTAGAAGTTGCCCCTTCGTCATCGTGAAAGCCCTCACCCACCTGAAGCCAGGCCCCGACATGGTCAGGAAGTCCTTCCTCAAGTCTAGCTTCATCTCAGCCAGGCTCAGAGAAGCTGGGTGGGGAGAACGCCTCCTGCTCAAGTGGATGAGAGGCTGCATCCTGCATACATCCAGCCTCTGTGATGTCCAGGGCTGGGGCGTGCAGCTACCACCCCTTCCTGTTCAGGTTGCCCTGGCCTAGACCAGGCGGCTGTGTGGTGACTTCCCCAGACATGTTGTCTTGGAGGTCCCAGACGACCTTGTGCCAACAATCTTTCGGCGGGGGTGGGGTGTGTGTGTGGATGCCAAGAGCCAAAGCCAGGGACACGTCCAGGCCTGAAGGGAGGGTACGTGGGGATGACTGTGTGTGTGTGTGTGCCAGGCATAGCCAGGTCCCCATGAACTTGGGCTAAAACTGATCCCTGGGGATTCACCTTACTAGATCCCTGCAAGGAAGAACAAATAAGAACCTGAACAGGCAGCTCGGTGCCCACCCCCAGCCAGTACTGCTGGCTACTTTGCACTGATCGCACCTGATGCATTGAGGTGAACAGAGAAGGTGGCCCCAGGTAAGTGAAGGTCCCTGGAGGTCCAGATCCTGAGGTAGGGGGTACAATCAGGCAGGTGAGGTGCTCCAGTACCGGCCACTTCCAGATGAAGAGCATTTCCATCCCGTCAGCCAGGGCTGCCCCCCTTCTGGATCCAGACGGCCTCACTTCCCAAGAGATCCCCACTCTAAATGTCCCTGGGCCATCCTTCCTCCTTCCTAAGGTAGTCCCAGACAACCCCTGCCCAGCAACAGCCCCCAAGCCAGGCCCCAAAACCGGAGAGCAAGAAGCCAGTGGTGCTTCGTGACACAAACATGCATTCGTTTTATTCACAAAACAGCCTGGTTTCCTAAAACAATACAAACAGCATGTTCATCAGCAGGAAGCTGGCCATGGGCAAGGGGGCCCCTGGGCACCACCCCCACCGGCAGGGGGCCACGCAGAGAAGCCCTTTCTTCTGTTGCCATCCGTGAGGCCAGAAAAAAAGGGCTCATTTTCTCTAAGGGAAGTAGCCAGGATCAGAAATATCGAGACATGAGCTTCCCAGATCTCAATGGATAAACGAACAGAACTTTTGTTTTTGCAAAATCATCACTGTTAGGGTTGGGGGGGGGGTCCCATTCTGGGGACCGTGGGTACAGCAAGGCTGGCCTGGGCCCGGGGGGGGGGGGGTGGGCTGCTCCCTCCCGCTCTGTGAGCTCCTTGCGGCAGCTCCGCGCGCGTGGATGGATACAGAGGGGCTTCGACACGGCGCCATCAACATTCTCTTTATAAACGTGAGTGGATTCTCCAGGCAAACTATGCACTATTTCATGGTCGGAAAGAATCAAAGGAAGTTTAAATGAGGGTGGAGTTAAACTGTGCTAAATTACAGTAGTGCTTATTAGTAACTAGATTTCAAAAGGTTACAGAAAATTTACATTCTCTACACAAAAACTGCATCTCCTGCACAGACAACATCGACATCGACACAGGAAGGAAACTGATTGTCCATTCTTTGCCCAGGAAGTCTCGGTACTTTACAGATTCGTCTTTACCTCTTTTTGCTGTTGTTGTTGTTCTTCCGAAAAAGCAGTTAATTTTTTTTCTTTTCTTTTTCTTTTTATACTAGGGACATGGAGATGTTAAAACGACAACAAAAAATATATATATAAAAACAGGAATGAAATCTGTGAGAGAATATTTTTGGTTCTAAAGACGGGTGCATCCGTTTGTCTTCGCCCGAATCCCTTGCCGGAGACCACACGAGCAGTGACATTGCACGGAGAGGGCAGCTTTGGGTTCCCGCCGCCGTCACTGAAACCACCGGAAGGCGGCTCCCGTCGGAAGCATCACCTTCTGGCGGGGGCGGGAGACAAAAACAAGGAGAGAGTTCAGTCAGGGTCCGGCTGGGCCTGGTGCAAAGACGTTCCCCTGTGGATGGCCTCATGGCGGAGGAATGGGCATGGAGTAAAAGCAGCCACCCCTTGGAGTTCCTGCCATCCTGGCCAGGCCAGAGAAGCCTGACCCGCTGGACCACCGGAGAGCCTGGAGCACCGTGAGGCCTCCTGAGCCACTGTGCCCAGGAACCCTCCTTCCAGACAGCAAGCCCCCTTTCCCTGGTCCAAAGGCTACAAGCGGCAGGTGGCCATGATGCATCTGGGAGCTGTGTTCACGTTTCTGTCGAATGAGTGTGTATGCGTGTGCACTGGACGCATACAAGGATGTGTGCCTTGAGCTATGCTACAGTGTGTAGTGTGTTTGGAGCTGTTCTGAGAAGGAAGGATGCTTGCTGTGTTTATTAAAAGGCTGCATCTATAATAAGACTGTGTACAGGGCAGGGTGTGTGTGTGTGTGTGTGTGTGTGTGTGTGTGTGTGTGTGTATCTGTCTGTCTCTACATGAGAGGAGAGCGGGTGCTTTTGTGTGCCTACAGGTGTGTTTTCTGGGCAGGAGAACAGATATGAGGTTTGGGGCTAGGGTGAGTTGGGGGGGATAGCCATGGCTGGGATGCCATTATTGTTTTCCAACCATTCTGGACATGTGCGTCAAACCCACTCGTGGAGGGGCGGGGACAGGGCAGGGACAGCAGGCTGAAAAGATGCTTTTGTACCCAGGCCTGGCACCACAGCTAGGCTCTCACGGCTGGGGGCATGGGGACAGGCCCTGCCATGAGGGTGGAGAGAAAGCAGCATGGGAACCCTTCTGCTTTCTGAAAGCCAATCCCATAGTGGACAGGCTTTACCCACATCCCAGGCTCAAGCCACCCTGTAACCCCAAGCCCATAGGAACCCTGGCCATCAACTATGCAGCCAGACTGAACTTGGGGCCTCCGGGCACCCCAAATAGGTCAGCTAGGTACCTAGCGCTAGGGTCTTCCAGGCCTCAGAGCGCAGCAGTCAGCACTGGAGCTGCTCTATCCTTGGGTGGCCTCGGGGGAAAGGCTGGGCTCTCTGAAGGGGCAAATGAAGGACTTATCCCTCAAAGCCAGAGGGTCTACAGGACAGAACCCCTCACATGGAGCAGGGGAGAGTCCCAGAATCTTAGGTCAGAGACCGGAACCTTTACGACACGTCTGAAAGTCAGAGACTTAAGACCTGTGTGGGAATCTCAATACCTGACCCAGAACTCCAGGAGGGGTTCAGAATCCCGGGGCCTGGCGGGATTCTGCTAGGTCCCTGACTGGAATTACATGCTTGCCTAGGTTGCAGACTACAACCTAAGGGCATCTCGGGATGTGGCTCTGACTCTTGGGGCAGTGAACTGCCGTCTCGGAGCCTGGCCTAGGACCCCAGAGCCCAAGGACAGGCCGGGCATCCCCCAGACACTTGCCCAGGCAGGAAAGGTGAGGATGGGGGGCAGGGGTGGGTTTGGACTGCCAGACAGACCCAAGAGCCCACACACCTCCCTCTAAGGCGCCGTTACCTCCAGAGCAGCGGAAGGCTTCTTTTTGAGTTCCTCACATTTTCTGAATTTGCAAATCTGATGGCCAGTCTTTCGGTTCCTACAACTGCTGCACTGCTCGCAGTTGATGCGCCGCCGGCAGGGCGCACACATGCCGCAGCGTTTCCGCTTCTTCTTGCCCGAGCTGATGGCGGAGGCCAGCTCTCCCTGCATGGGGTACTCGGCCAGGCCGGCCATGTGCAGCGCGCTCTCAGCCAGGAACACGCCCGCCGGGGTCATGATGAAGAGGCCCGGGTTGATGGGAAAGGCGCCCAGGTAGGGGAAGTCGGACTGGCCATTGAGGGCTTCGGCGCCCGCCACGGCCTCCATGTCGGGCAGGCCAGCGCCCGCCTCGCTCATCAGCGGTAGGTGCTCCTGCACCACGCGCTTCAGCATCTCCGTGGACTGCGCGAACTGCTGCAGCGTCAGCTGTCCCTCGGCTGCCAGCTCCGTGGCCCGCTCTGCCTTGCTCAGCAGGCTGGCCACAGCACCACTTTTGTGCTTTGAGGTAGGGTTGCTTTTGTCCACAGCCATGGCCGCCGCCAGGTCGTGCCCATTGGCCAACAGGGAGGCAGCGGCTGTGGCCGCGGCAGCCTTTTCGGCAGACTCCCCGCCCATCATGCTGCCACCGCCACTGCCACCGCTGCCCCCAAAGGAAGAGTAGTGGGAGAGAGGGCGGGAGCGGCGCAGGCTCTTGTTGAGGGGTTCACTGATGATGCCGCTCTTGTTCCGGCGCTCAGGGGGTGGTGCGTCATCCGCCACCGAGGCTGGCGCAGCCGCCGCCGCCGCCGCCGCACTCTTGTCTGCCACTCCCGCCTTTGGGCCGCTGCCACTGCTGCCATTGGCGTTGCTGCCGCTGCTGCTACCGCCGCTGTCCTGGGGGCCGCTGCCGAGGCTCGACATGGTGGGGCCAAGGCCCAGACCCCGCTGGTGGGGGAACCTGCCAACTGCGGGGAGTCCACAGATGAGCACCGGAGTCCTGCTGCCCACGACAGAGATGCCTGGTGGGCTCTGCTGCTCAGCGCAGGCACATGGTCAGGCGTCCACGTGCAAGTGTCTTCACTCTGTCGGCACAAGAGGACACAGGGTCAGGGCCTCCTCCACCACCAGCTGTATCGCCACTGTAACCACCACAGCCGGGCTAGGCGCTCATTAAGTTCCAGCCACAGTTAGGAATTTCTAATTTGTACTACCTCAGTTAAGACTCACGAGAAACCCACAAGTAGTGGCTAGTGATATCCTGTTTCATAGGTGAGGAAGACAAGGTTTGGGAGAAGAACTGACTAGCCCACGGATACACAGCCACCAAGTAGCACGGTGGAGGCTCAGCTGGGTCTCCCTCTGCCCTGCCAGGGTCTGGGAAGACCCGATGGAGGCAGGCAGTCCTTCCTGTCCTGGGGGTAGGAGGGAGCGGGAGAACTTTATTAACCTCAGAGGTTACCCTCTGCTTCCTCATCTTTCACTGACCCAACTATGGAGAAGAGGGGTGGGCACAGTCTCTGAACAGCTTGGAGATGTAGACCAAAAGGTATGGGAAGCTGCCCATGGATGCTCATTAGAGATTCCTAATACACATTAATTATCTCAAGGCCCTGGCAAGTTCTGCAGGTAAAGAAAACTGACTTTGTTTAACAGAGTTTGCCAAATAGAGAGCAGAACCCTTATTTCAAGGAGCATGTATCCTCCTGCTAGAGGGCAGGCAGCAGTGTACCAGAGGACAAGCCTTCTCCCGCAAGGGCAGGGGGGTGGAGGGTGGGGGGCTTGTGCACACATCAACACACGCTTCCCCCCCTCTCTCTAACCTCGGGACCCTTGTCTCTACTCAGGCCTCACTGCTATGTGCCAGCCTGGCTCCCAGATGGGTCTGGATGGAGGTCCCAGTGAGAGCAGAGAGGACTGTGGGCCCGAGGGACCTCTGGCTGCTGCCAAGCTGGGACAGAGAGTAGGTGTGACCCTCTAGGGAATGGAGCCTGTTCTTCAGCCACGTCCACCTGTCTGAGGTGCCCCTTCCCAGGACAGAGCCTGTTCTGCTCAGGCCCCAAGACTAAGGCATGTGAGCAGCCAGGCTCCTTGGCCAGGAGCTCTAGAAGGAACTGTTCCAGATGGAGCCGAGTGGTAGTTTCCTCATCAGCCCTGGCTCTCTAGCGTCTGCCTGCCACGGCCCAGCAACCCCCAGGAGAGGGGTGGGAGGACGGGGCCCAGCCCCGAGCAGCTGGCTACTCAAGGGGGAGGCGCACATCTGGCTGGGCCTGTCCGGCCCTGGGCTTAGGGGCGGCACACACTGCATCTTTGTCCCCAGGCAACCCCACCATCCCCCAGTCACAGGACTCAGCCTGGCCCGGGAGGTCATCTAGTCCAACCCTGTACACTTACAGAAGGGGAAATCGAGGCCCCGAGCAGGCAGGGCCCCTGGTCCAGGACTGCTAAGAGTGGCCACGAGGAGGAGTGAGTGCAGGCGAGGGAAAAGCTCTGTCTCCAGGGTGAGGTGAACAGCAGGCCTCAGCAGCCAGCCGGCCACTCCCTGCCTCTCCCCAGCAGGCACGGGCCCACCTAAGCTCCTTCCTAGTGAAGGCGGGTGGGTGGTGAGGAAGAGCTGGGCCAGCTGGCAGGACAAACCCAGGAGGGTCAGGCAGGGTGTCCAGACTGGGCTGGGGGTGTCACAGAGGTCAGATCGTAGTAAGAGGAAGGGGGTCACACATGCCCCAGGATTGCTGTGCTCCCTTCTACCTCCTAAGGCCCAAGCCCAGGTTGGCTGTTGGGCCCCTGTCCTCAGAGATCAGTACTCCTCCAGGCATCAGTGACCCTGGCTAGGTGTTGGGGACAAGGGCCAGTGAGATCAGGGCCAGAGACTGTCATGCCAAGTCACCTAGCCCTTGCCCATCGAGCTCAGCTGCTCTGCCCTGGACCATAGCCCCAGGAGCCCTAGACACAGGCTGAGGGGAGAAGACAGAAGAAGGCTGACGCCCGTGGGCTGGAGATGTGGGGAGGGAAGCAGTCTGCGCCCTAGCCCCTCTGTGTGTCCCCCGCCTCTGCGGCCTGCTGGCTGGTGGCAGAAATCGATAGCTGCATTAACGCTGCTCTTGCTCTACTCCCTCCCTCCTCCCAGCTCCAGGATCTGGCTTTGCGTATGGGGCGGGCAGGTCAATTAGAAGTCAGCTCCCTCTGACACAGACTGCTTTCAGGGCTGGCACTCTGGCTAAGTCTCTCTGCTTCTGTCTCCATCCCGAGTCTCTCTTGGTGGGGACCTAATCTCATGTTCTGTTCATCTCTGGCCTCCTCTTTGAATCTCTCTAATCTTTCATTTTTCTGTCCCTCCTCAGGGACAATTCCCCCCAGCCCCCCCCCCCCCTCCCCCCCCCCCACCCAGGTCCTGGGACATGCTGAATTCGGGCCCAGAGGATGTGATATGTCATTGAACAGGTGCTGCAGGCAGAACACTGGTTTGTCAGCCTCAGAAAGTGAAGGTGGAGGGTACATGAGGGGGCTGGCACACAGGGCAACTCAAACCCCAGAGTGGACAGATACCAACGTCTAGTCCCCAAAGCCTGGTCCCCAACCAAGCCTGTTCCAGATCTGTCCCTGTACCCGGCTCATCTCCTTCAGACCCTGGGAAAAGCTGATGCCCTGGTCCCAGTGGACCACTGACCACAGGGCTCACGTGCCCTACTCATGGAAGGGGAGGACATAAGAGAAGACCTTCTCCCAGGCCCCGGCCTCTACTGCAGGGCACACAGCAGCCCCCTCCCAGGCCAGGAAGGGCCTGGCAGTGCCCAGGCGGCAGGGGAGGAGCTGGGGCTGCGTTGAAGCGGAGCGGGAATGAGCGGGAGGGAAAGCTGGCGGGCAGGCGGGCGGCGGCGGGCGCATCCATCATCGGCCCTGCCAGGAACGCATCCAGCCCCCAAAAAGAAATACTGCGCCTGAGGAGGGACAACAAAGGGCTCCGTTTCATCAGTAATGCGGAGCCAGCGCCCCGCCGCCCCGCCAGCCGCGGTCAGCCCACAAAGGACCCCTTTGTCCATGCAGGAGCCGGGCCGGCCGGGAGCTGGGACCAGGGGCTGACGGGCGGGGACAGAGCCCAGGGGGCGGGGGTGAGGGGGGGAACCCAGGCATAGAGCGCTGGGGGGCAGAGGGGGACATGGGGCCAGAAGAATAGAGACAGGTGGTGGGGACAGAGGATCACGAGACAAGAGAACTCGAGGGGTGGGTCAGACAAAGGGACTGAGAGAGGACAGGGCAAAGGGTCAAGGTTAGAGGACAGAGCATCATAGGGAACAGAGACTGAGGCAACTGGGCTTAGAGACGCAGGGTGCCTGGCCCAGCTCAGAGACTAGAGGATGTAAGAGACATGGAAACAGAGCCCTGAGGAGACAGTCCCAGATGCAAGGACCTGGGGACCAAGAGAAGGCAGGTGGACATGCCTACAGGAGAGGCAGGCAGAGGCAGAGGTCAGGGGAGGCCAGATGAGACCCAGCTTGTCTTGAGCCCCAGCCCACTCTGGCCCAAAACCTGGGAGGAGAAAGGAAGGAGGGCTGGGGGTCAGTGGGTTCCTGGTCTCAAGGCCAGGCTGTGGGCCCCACCTCCTATGGGCTGGAGCTCACTTGGCTGAGCTGGGAAGTGAGGGACAGTCAAAGCTGGGCCCCCTCTCCTGACAGTGGAGCCACCTCTGCCTCTACCCCCAGGCCCTGGCCAGCCCCAAAAGACACGGGACACCGTCCCTCCCTAACCAGCTCTCACCAAGCGACTCTCAGGCTCCCTTAACTAACCGACCCTATCCGTTAGCATTTATTGAGCACCTACTGTGTCCCAGGCCCCGTACTCTCATGCTTTACATGTCTTCTCTCCCTCCTTGACTCCTCCCCAGTACTCAGGGAAAAAGGAACTATTAACCAATTTCAGAGATGAGGAAACTGAGGCTCAGGGAGGTTCAAGCTGTCAGGCCAAGGTCAAACAGCCGGTACCCAGTAGGGCTACAACTTGAACCCAGAGCCCAAGTGTTAGTCACCCTGCTCTGTGACTGCCTTTGTTCTGCCAGGGAAAGGTGACCCAGCTACCCCGAGGCTGCCCCCACCCCCCCCAGGGTTGTTACCATGCCCGTCGCCTTTACATGGTCGGATGGATAAGCTGTTACAGACCCCAGGGGAGTGTCCCCACCTGGGGGGCTTGGAGATACTCAAGCAGGAACCCGGAAGGCTGGGCCAGTGACATCATAATGCAAGCTGGCAATGAGGTCACCAGAGGTGGTGGCAGAGCTCTCACTCCACCCTCAGTGCCAGGGGAGCCAGGATTCATCCCCAGCAGGGCTCTGTCCTGAGCCCTTCAGGCCACACAGCAATGGGGGAGGGGGGCAGGACAGGCGGGCACTATGGGGTGGGATGGTGCTGTCTGCACGGAGACATGTACACAGGTGGCCACAGTGAGATGTTCTAGATGTTCAGTTGCACACAGCCTGCACTACCTACCCGATAGCGGCCCCATGCCCTGTGGTCCTGCGGAGACAGTGCAGGATACAGACCGGCACTGCTCTGGAGGGGTACACAGGAGCTGGGCTGGTGGTCACATGAACTGATGTGAAAAGAGAGAGCAGGAAGGGGACTGAGTGGGGCAAGGGGACCTTTCTGGAGGAAGGGGCTGCTTAGCCTGTGAGTTAAGGATAAGGAGAGGTTACCAAAGTAGACACGAACCTGAAAGGGTTCCTAAGAAATGGGGAAGTGGGTGCGAGGTGTGGCTATGAGGTTGGCAGGGTCCCAACGGGGTGGGGCTTGAGGTCAAGGACAGGACTTTTTTTTTTTTTTTCTTTTGTGGTACGCGGGCCTCTCACTGTTGTGGCCTCTCCCGTTGCGGAGCACAGGCTCCGGACGTGCAGGCTCAGCGGCCACGGCTCACGGGCCCAGCTGCCCCACGGCATGTGGGATCTTCCAGGACCGGGGCACGAACCCGTGTCCCCTGCATCGGCAGGCGGACTCTCAACCACTGTGCCATCAGGGAAGCCCAAGGGCAGGATTTTTTTTAACAGATTTGCTGAGGTACAGTTTTTACTTACTATAAAATGCACCCATTTCTAAGTGTACAATTCAATGTTTTTTAGTAAATTTACAGAGTTGTGCAACTATCACCAATACCAAGGGCAGAGTCTGCACAAGGCACCATCCCTCCCCTACTCCTCTGCTGGCTGGAATAGCCTCCCAGCCGTCCTGCCTGCTGAAGGAAGGCTTCCTGGAAGAGGTGGCATTTCATCAGGGCCTTCAGGACCCCAGGCACTGGCCCAGCAGAGCCTGCCATCATCTAGGTAGGCCCGGGTTGCAGACTCACACACCCTGGCTCATCGCACCCTTCCCCACACTTCCATGCCCACTCCTGGCATCCCTGCTACAACCCCTTCACGCCCCTCCAGCCACCTTGATGGGCTGGTGTCCTTGGTCTCCAACGGAGGCAAGATGGACAGACTGACTGATGGTGGGCAGGCCAGTGGTGGCAGGGAGGGCAGACCACAGGCTACGGTGGTTGAACTGAGCTGAGCAACTGGGTATGTGTGTGTGGGGTTTCCATCTCTGATTTCCATGATTCAGCCTGGGGAGTTTCCAGAGGGAAAAAAAAGCCCTACTCAGGCCCAGGGAGACACACATGGGGACACTGGTCTTGGAGGCCAGGAGAAATGCAGGCCCCGCTGGAGAGCACAGGGCACGTATCCAGCTATGGATGGACACACATATACAAGGACACATTGACCACTGTTAGCACCCAGCAGATGGCCTGGGGTGGGACACGCCCTCAATACCACTAGGCCCTCCCTAAGACTAACACCCCAAGACCAACTGCCAAGGACAGAATGGGGGTGAGGGCTGCAATCCTATTTCCCTGACTCCATACCCCCTGGCCTTTTATGCCCCTATTCTCAAGGCAGGCTCAACCCCCTTGCCTGAGAACTGAAACATGCTGCTGAGAAAACCCAGGAGTATAGGGGGCTCTGTTTGCCCTTACAGAGCTCCCAAAAGGAGCTGGAGGAGGGGATCAACCCATTTCATGGACAAAAAAACACTGAGGTCCCGGGCAGGAGGTATTCCCTGATGTGGGGCTCTAGGGAACGAGACAAGGGTCCTGGGACACCACTGATAAAGACAAGGCCTGCCTCAACAGGTACCTCCTTTGGGCCAGGTTCCTTCTCTGGAAGAGTCAAAGGACCTGGAGGGCCCTCCTTGCTGTGTGACCGTGGCATATGGCCTCTGAGCCAGTTTCCCCATCTGTAACATGGCATCATGAGGATAAGAGCTTATGTGTATGGAGACCTTCCTATGTGCCAGACAATGGACATGGCTTGTCTCATCGAATCCTCATACCCACCTGCTGAAGGAAGTACTATGATTGCCCCATTTAGAACAGGCAGTTTGATAAGCAATTATGATCTGGAGAAAATGATGGCCTCCCTGTTTGGGAGCTCCTGGATCTTAGACTAAGGTTTCCTAAAGTGGAGATGTCTGAGCTGACACCAGCCTGGGATCAGGGCCCACACACTTACTTAGGACCTCCCTCCCAGTGGGCCTCACCACAGGACAAGCCAGGGAAAGCCAGCTCAGAGACATGTGGGCCAAGGAATTGGTGGGGACAGGGCACATATCCATAGGACTGGCCAGGGGACTGAGTCTGCAGGCCCAGGTTTGTGGCTCCATCCTGTCCCTTCCTGTTGGCTTTGACACGCTGCCCCACACTGAGCCTCAGTTTCCATCTGTAAAATGGAGAAGAATGGTTCTTGCTCCTCACCCCAAACTGCAGGAGCCATGAGCCCAGAAGGGCCCATGTGGAAGGAGGTGGAGAGATACAGAAAAGTCTCCAGAGAGTGAACACCCCCCTTCCCCCATCCCAGAGGCCAGAACTGGCTCTTGATGTGATTTTCAGATGGGGAAACTGAGGCCTGGAGAGAAGGGTTTTGAGCAGGCCAGAGGGTTGGGACCAAGCCGCAGATGGTGTGAGGGTTACTGGGGTGAGCATTCAGACCCCTCCCTCTCCGATCTTCCCAGAGTGCCCTAATAATGAGCACTCACCCTCTGCCAGGTATTGTGCTAAGCATTTCACATGCATTTTCTCACTGAATTCTCTCTGTAACTTGCTAACTAGTATTAGCCCCATTTACAGATGAGGCTCACCTGCCTAAGGTCACAACAAGGTCAATAAACAGCAGAGCCAGGATTTGAAACCAAGACTCCAGGCCTGGCTCTCCAACACCGGCCAAGGGCTCTGAGGCACGTTTGGCTGGAGGGTGAGGT